GCTCGCAAGATTTGTCGACTTACCATCCGTGCTTTGAAAAAAATAAATATAATCAAATAATAAGTAATAACGGCGTAGGGATAGCCATTATGATCTAATAACTACTAAAATAATAGCTGGACTCTACTACTTCCAAGAGGGGAACACAAAGAGTGAAGACATGACTCTCAAAAGCTGTAGCCCAACTTGTATCATTGCATGTCGCATTGTATTGTTACATTGTCTTTTAAGACATCCTAATTTTAAATATTTGAAACAGTTGCATCCTTTGATGTTTTCTAAAAAAAATTTCTCAAACTTTAATTGTGAGCATGTCAATTAGCCAAGCATCACTAGATACATTACCCACCTTACACTTACACACTTTTCACTCCTTTCTCCCTCATCCGTAGTGATTTATGAGGTCCTTCTCGCACTCTTAGCTACACCAATAAACGGTTGTTCTTAACCTTAATTGATAACCACACTTGAGTGGCGTGTGTTTACATTTTAAAAGAAAAATCGGAAGTCGGTGTAATCTTCCAAAACTTCTACATCAATTCAAAACTCTCATTCAGGTCCTTTAGACCGACAATGATCGTGAGTTTGTCAACTCTATTTTCAGTGAATTTTTTGTTAGTAAAGACATCCTCCACCATATTCTTGCACTAACACTCCTCAACAAAATGGGGTAGTTGAGAGAAAAAAATCTCAATCCATTATGTTTCAATCCAATGTCCCAAAATATTTTTAGAACAATGTCATTCTAACTGTCACTATCTCATAAATAGAGTCCCCTCCAAAATCCATAAGTTTCGAATCCCCTAACCGTTCTAATGTCATGCTTCCCTACCAATCAGGTCTTCTAAACATTAGATCCCAAGGTTTTTGGGTGCACTGCCTTTGCTCAGAACACTGCCCCTACTCAGAGTAAACTTGATCCCAAATCCATAAAATGTATCTTCCTTAGATGCTCCGCAACACGAAAGAGGTATAGGCGCTTCATCCCAAATTCTATGTGAGTGTTGATATCTCCTTCTTTGAAAGTATTCCCTATTTTTCTAGCTCGGCCTCTAGTGACGGGGAGCTTGAGTTCCACAACATTGTCCCTTATCCTACTCTTATGGATAGTCCTCTCATTGTTCCTCCCGCTGAGGAGTCACTTATCCCGTTGAATGCACCATCTCCTACTCCCATTATCCGTATCTACACTCGATACGCTCGTCCCAATACTCCTACTCTAAATCCCACTAGCTCTTTACAAGACCTTAACTCCACTCCGACCAATATCCTCAGCACAACCCCTCCCACAAATGTGGAAGTGAGTTCTCTAAGTAAGGTACACAATCAAATACACTCATTCTATTCTATGACAAAATATGTCTCTTTCCACAGTTTATCTCCGACCTCTGGAACATTTGTTACTGACCTGACAAACCATCAAATCCCTGTTACTATTGAGGTTGCTCTTGTTGATCCAGTCTGAAAAACAACAGTAATGGAGAAGATAAATGTCTTTCAGCGGAACCATACGTAGGATGTCATGGACCTTCCTCGGAGTAAAAAAAGTTGTAGGTTACCGATGAATTTTCAATACCAAGTTCAACTTTGATGGGTCCTTTGAATGCAACAAGGCAAGATTGGTCACCAAATGATACTCTCAGACTTATGGAGTTTACTATGATGAGATATTTGCTACAGTGGCTATGTTGAACACTATTTAGGTCCTGTTGTCACTTGTTGTGAATTTAAATCGGCATTTATTCCAACTTGATGTCAAGAATGCATTCTTGAATGAAGAGCTAACAGTACATGTTTCTCCTCTGGGTTTTGATTCTACTACCTCCAAAGGACAAGTGTGCATGTTACGAAAGTCCCTCTATGAGCTAAAGGAAAATTCACAAAAGTGGTCTTAGGCTACTCAGGTTCAATCAAAAGACACCCACTTCTTTCAACATTCTTCTAATGACCATGCAGTTATCCATATTATCTATGTTGATGATATTGTTTTTACAAGTACGCCCTCCCAGCATTGAAGTTCTTAAAAGACATTTGCTTCTTCCTTTGAGATGAAGGATTTAGGATCTCTCTAGTACCTCTTAGGCATAAAAGTGGCTCGGTCATATCCTAAAATTTGTCTATCTCAGTACAAATACATGATTGATCTCTTGACAGAAAATAACCTTCGTCTGTGCAAACTCATTGTTTTTTTTATGGATCCCAATGAAAAATTATCTAACAATTTCAATGTTGTATCTGTCAACAAGATTCATTCTCAGAGCATTGTGGAAAAAATGATCTACCTCACTCATACTCGCATCTACATATGTTATGCAGTTAGAATAGTGAGTCAATTCATGTGTAACCCTTGTGAGCACCACCTCTAAGCTGTCCATCGGATTTTTCACGACGTAAAAAAGTACACCAAGCTCAAGTTTATTTTTTCCCATCACACCACTCGCCTCTTTTGGTATATACAGATGTTGGTTGGGTCGGATCGGTTTATAATCAGCGTTCCATCTCGATGTATTGCTCATTTGTATGAGAATCTTGTCATTTGAAAAAACAGGAAACAGCCTGTGGTTGCCCAAAGCAATATTGAAGCTGAATTTCGATTTGTCCTCAGGAATCTGTGAAGCTCTCTGGCTACGCATTATGCTCCGTGAACTCCGTATGCCAACCTCCGTCCCGTTGTAGCTATTCTGTAATAATAAGGTTGCAATCATCATTGCTCACAATCCAGTCCAGCATGATCGTACCAAAAATGTGAAGATCGACATACACTTCATTAAGGAAAAGATCTAGTTCGGAGAGATTTGCATTCCATATGTGTCCTCCAGTGGACATTCTCACCAAAAATTTGTTTCGCTATTTATTCGATGACTTTAAGTCCAGGTTAGACATGACTAACATCTATGTTCAACTTGAGGGGGAGTATAGTTATAACGGCTATCCCTACGCCATTATTACGTATTATTTGATTTTATTTCCTGATTATATTTTATCCTCTTTTGTTTTATTTTATTTTATGTCTTTCATTTTTATTTTATTTTATTTTTATTGCTTTCTATTATTATGTCTATTGTAATTGGGTTTAAATATCCCTTCTATCCATGAAATTGCGCTGGTCTATTCCAAATCTCAACAATACTTTTGATCATCAGACCTATTATTTACATAAATATTATAATTTTTATCAAAATCCTTTGTTGAACATCATTAAGGTAAGGGGCTTAGTAGTAGACATGTGACTCATAAATTCTATGAAAACCAATCATTTAACAATCCTTAGATCCTTCTTGATAAATGAATCAATGGGTTAAATCATATGGCAAACCAACTCGAATATACACTTTCAGTGAGCTCCATGCACAATGCATTACACAGCTTTATTTGGCCTTACACATATTAGAATCTTCACAGTTCAACAAGTGCCTATATTTTATGATCATTCCCCTATGATATTGCTACTCATGAAGTTATTTACAAAATAGACATTGAAGATAATCTTAAGATACTAGTATTTATATTTATAATTATAACGAATGTTGAACCTGAAATATTAGCAAAAGCTAAAATTGAATGTAATTGCTTGAAAATATAGGACACAATGGAGTAAAATGATTCATGTAGCTGACCCCACTAAGTTGGATAAAAGCTTCTTGTTGTTGTTGTTCTATCAGATTGAAAATATTGATCAAGATGAAATAATTTCCTATAAATTCTACGGAGATTCTTACTCCATGACACTTGCCTCTATCACAGGAGACAAACCCTACTTCCAATGTTATAGACTGCTTAAAGCATGCCTATCAAAGATTAAGTAATTATTATCTAGTCCACTGTTGGTCTGCATTGCACAAATCTCATAGTATCAAATTTGAACCCACCTAGCACCCAAAATGCAATATTTGTGCTCTTTGGACTTCTTCCTCCTACCGCTACTTGTACTGCATGGCTGCATCACCCATCATAAAATCTAATGGCATCATCTAAAACTTTGCTGCCTCCTACAAACTCTCTAGGATGCAATTTTTGTTAGCAGATTGAATTGATGCAGTCCAGCTTTTCATAGGCTAACTAAAAGAATAAACTAAGCTACAAATGGAATTGAACGAAACTAATCTTTAGTGATTTTTATGCCTATCCTTAACTTTCGCTTTACTTCTCAATTTTTTTTTTCTTTTTGGATAATATTATTTTTTATTTTGAATATTTTTTAAGATAATTTAATTTCAAATAAAATTAGATTTGAATTCAAATTACTTACCATATCTTAATAAACCTATTTTTATAAATTAGAATTGATGGGTTATATTCAAATTAGTGATGATTGTTTGAATGAAGTTACCCTTGAGTTTTTTGTAGACCTAACTTGTGTATGTAGAGTCCCCAGCTGCATGTTGTGTACGCAAAATTTCTCTTTTATCCTTCCCCCTTTCTTCTCATCTCCCACCACAGCTTTAAATTATGTTGTGTCATGTAAAACTTAATGTTGTCTATACTGTGTTTATTTCCATTTTATTTGAGGTTGCAAACTGAAATCCTTCAACTATTTGTTATATTAGTTGTATGAAATCTTTACCATGTCGACGTGATGGCTCTAAATTCCATCTGTTATCCGGACTTTCCCATCACTTAACATGTTAGGCATAAATATATCAACCATGTACACACAATAAATTCTTTGAATCATTATATAACACAAAATCGATGACAAACGTATGTGTGGCATGTCCATTGCCCACTTACAATAACCAACTTGCCCAATACATAAGTTTTCATATCAATTCTGGCGGCCCGCAGTAATAATTGTGATTATGAGGCTTCGGAAAATTATACGAAATCATTCAACCAGTCCAATTGTTATACAATAAAAAACTAATTTGAACATTGGCAGTTTCACTCTACCATAAATCCAACGGTACTTGAGAAACATTTGTGGACAAGAGCATCAAAAAGTTTGCTTCAGTGTTCAGAAAGATAAAAAACATAATGCTAAATACAAGCCTTTAGTGTACCTCCAATAACCAAATAACGGAAAAACAACCACCCGCTCACTACAGCTTCATTAACCTATATGTAAGCAATAAAATATCAGAGATATAACAGAAATAAGCACCCATATAAGAACAAAAAGTTAGGCAGAAATAATAAGTTGAACTTCTTCAAAATACCACCTTGATCCTAAAATTTATGGATTAAAACAATAAATTCAACATATACTGTTATCCCCGTAAGATAGTTCTTTACCATTTAACTTATTTACTCATTTAAGTCTTTAGTATCAAGAAAAATTATAGAATATTAAAAAAAAAAAAGATTCACAATATGAGAAGCAATTTTTCTTATTTTAATCCATCGAAGATAAAGGCGGCCCAACATACAACAGCAGAAGTTTCAACTTAAAAGGATCTAGAGTTTTATCTCATGACAGCAGAACAATGGCGAACAAGAATAATTACATCAAGATCCATGTAACCTTTTTTCAAATCAAACTTAAATACTCGCAAGGCTTTATCAAATGAACATCCAGTTGACTTTAAGCAGCCCGATAGAACTTGAGAAGTGTGTGTGCGTGTGTGTGTGCAAAACCATGTGGAGAAAACTGAACTTTTACAAAGGCTTAAGCTTTTCCTAACACAAAAAGGCCAAAATTTTCCTCAATCCGAGGGGATTGTTTGCAAAGATTCCGTTACAACCTACACAAGAAAATATGAAATAATGGAGCATGGGCATATATTAGTAACCAGGGTAGTCCTTGTCCTGGTCCAAGCATGGCCACTCTAAGTTCTCACTGCTGAACTTTCCCATAGCTCCCCTCACTTGCCCACGCACACCGATGATTGTGCAATTTGTGGTATAGGCTACGGTTTTTTTTGCTCGCTAGCGAATTTTAGCTTGCATCTCCCACTCTCTAGAGCTCCTCCTTTACTTAAAAGCCTATGGCAGCGCTTCTTGCAATGTATTTTATTTAGCTTTTAAGTTATCTTATTCCAATGTATTTTATTTACATGCTTTTATGTTGGGAATTCTTTATGATTTCTTGCTCTTGTATCCTTTGAGATTTCATCGCCTGCATAATATATATATATATATATATATGAAACAGCAGAAGAATGAAACTAGTAACTGATAATTTCAAGAGACAAAAAAAGTCATTTTTAATAGAGAATATCTAATAATGTAAAACTTCTGAGATAATCCACAATAACCTTGTTTGAAACAGCAAACGTTAGGTAAATAGATAACAATCTGAGTTTTGCCTAAAGTCCTTTATGTAGCTCCTTGATATTATTTATTTCCACAAATGTATTCTGGATTCAGCATCCCAAATCAAGGATCCACTGCAAGGCATATTAATTTGAACGCCTTAACACGGTTTATGTTTAAATATTAAAAAAAAAAACAAAACAAAACAAACCCTATAAGCTTAAACCGCATATGTTCAACCTATATTCCTACCTAATTTTCAAAGTGAAAAAATCAGTCACAACTAAATTTATCATTTATTCACTGGTTAGGTATTCAACTTTTGCTATTTAAATATAAACGACTGGCACATATTAAGAAAAAAAAAAAGTTTCCCTTAGCTACTAAACACACTACCTTGCGAGGCTTAGCCATCATTACATTTGTATCTTGTTTATTGAATCCAATTGCTGTGGCAGGTAACCCATCAGTAACCAGATTCACCCAAAGTAGCTGAACCTGAAAATGAAAATGGAAAATTGCTTAGTTTTAGATAATTCAATAGATTAAATTGAAAATGATGCATTTTAGTGAATGAGCATCAGCTTTAGCAGCCAGAAGAGAATAATACTTTACAAGAATGGTAAAATAGAAACTTAGTCGTTGCATCAAAAGTGGAGCTTACTGGAAAAAGAGTATCGGGTGTTCCAAGCACAGCTGCAACAAAAATACAAACCACTTCTCCAATATTTGAGGAGATCATGTATCTAATGAATTGTTTCGTGTTATTATATATAGCCCTTCCCTCTGCAATAGCCTGCAAAAGGCCAAAGCAATGCTTTAAGCAGCAAAGGCTTTCTTTACATGGCACATCGTTAAAAATGATCCTAGAGAAAATCAATGCTAAGAAGGAATCACTTACAGCAACAATCGAAGCAAAATTGTCATCAGCTAATACCATATCAGAAGCACTCTGGAATCACAAAATCACAATTATGATAAATTTAATTTCCGACAACACAGAAGCATTACCTACTTGAAAGAAGTCAAGCTCTACTGGTTAATAGTTTTATTCCTCCCAAAGGCACCGCTAATATTTTGTGGATAAAACAATATAAGGAAATTATTAGGATAAAAGAAATGCAAATAAGTTAGAAAAGCTAAATGAAATGATGAAAACTGTCAAAAAGACAAAAGTAGAGAACTTATACAAAAGAGAGTAAAGAAAGCTAATTGGAATGAAGAAATGAAAAAAAAAAAAATTTCCTTGCAAAAACCTGAACAGCACGCACATGCTAACCCACCAAAACTTTCCAAAAGCAGCACAATGCATGCTATGAAGGAAGGATCCTTCGTTTTAGAAGGTATATATTGCTAATGTCATAGGGAAGGGTCCTAGTGGCCTACTGCACGCCAGATATGATACAGGTACATCAGTCCCTTGCAGTGTGACGTGGGCATTGAATCAGCACCCGAGTGCAAGTGCTGAATGTGGCCCAAAGCGGGGCGCTTCGATCCCGTAGACCAGAAGACCCCCAAAAGCTTCGCGGGAACTGTAGGCGGGACGAGATCGCGATCCCACGAGAACAAGGGAGGCGGATCACAAACTCTTGCAATCCAAGGAGCCGCTTCGCTAGTCTGGCTCACCTATTTTTGTTCGGGTTTTTCTGGATTCTTTTTGACTTCCCACTATTTTCATTTGTGTAGAAGCTTCCTCTGTCCTGGGAGAGCCTATAAATTGTTGTCATCCGTGTGTGGGGTGTCAGTTTTGGTTGTGTTTATTCTTAGATTGAATTCCTTTGTGGAGTTCTTTTCCACTTGTGGGTTTTATCCAAGGAAGTGGTGGTGCTTTGGTTGTATTACTACGAGGTGGCGATTATATCATTTCCTTTAACCTTCCCCAAATCTTCTCCCCACTTCTCATCCGCCGAACTCTCCCTCCACCATCAACACCACGCCATCCCCTTTCCTGCAGGTTATTACTGTTGTCCAGCCTTTCGACCTCCTTCCAAACTCCTCTCAGCCACCCCACTGTCTGGTACCAAATACCTAAAACCCTCCCTACTTATTGTCCCTACAATTCCACACCTTCCCTTCACAGTCACCAGCCTCCCGTGGCTGCCAGCATCCCTTCCAATCATCCATACCCCTCTAACTGGCTTCCACCACCCATTGGGATACATTAAGGAGTGTTTGCTTGTGTCGTCTATGTTCTATATTGTTGTGTTGTGTTGTAACTCCTATTTCCCTATTTTGTTTTTCTGTTTCCACTGTTTTTCCTACTGATTCCAGTATCATCTTGTATCACAGCTAGTTTAACTCTAGTCTTTATCTTAGGGTTTCCCGCCATCCATCCCTAAAAATCGTCTCCATCGAAAAAAATTTTCCTTCTGATTCCCAACCATAACCATGCCACCACAAAGAGATACGCCGAGCTCTACTCGGGAAGAGATCCAAAGAGAAATTCATCGTCTGCAATGGAGACTAGCCGAGTTGGATGATGGGAACAAGGAAGAGGTTACCTTCGACCATGATCAAGAGAGTTAAAAAGAAGACAGTGACGAGGAGATGAATCTATTTCACAGGGAAGATCGCAGTGACGAGGAATATCAACCATGTTGTTTTGGTATTTAATATCAAATGAGGATGAGAAAATAAGTCCCTTATGGAGATCAGATACCTCCCAAAATTTGAGAGAGGTATGGACCCTGATAGTTTATCTAGTGGCTACGATTAGTCAAACGATTTTTTGAGCTTAAAGACGTACGAAAGGACAAGCAGGTCAAGTTAGCTATCATTATACAAAAGAAAAATGCTTCCTTATAGTGAGAAAATCTACAAAAGCAGAGCAAAAGAGGAGACAGTGAGAAGATAACTAAGTGGGAGAAGATGAAGAAGGCAATGCAGAAAATGTGTCTCTTATCCCACTATCGTCAGGATATATTTCTGAAACTTCACAACTTAGCAAAAGGATCTTTCAGTTGAGGAGTTCACAACCCAATTCGACCACTTTTAGCTGAAATGCGAGCTAACGGAGCCAAAGAAACATACGATAGCCAGATATCACGGGGGTCTGAAACCTGCCATCAGCAATGTGATACAGTTGTAACCATATTGGGCGTTAGGGTATGTCCAAACATTAGCCTTGAAAGTGGAAAGATAACAGAAGCAAAGCCCACAGCAATCATCTTTCAGGCAGTAACCTTCAGGCAAATTGTCACCAACAATTACTACAACCGACAGGGATATCCCGGGAGACACAGACGACCTCTTACAGGGGAATGACACTATAGATCAAAGCAGGAAGAAAAAGGAGAAGCGTAGCTCCTCCGACAGAGATATCTGTGTACGTGGTGATCTGGTTGTATCCACTCTGAGGTAGTGATTATATCCTTCCCATTTACCTTCTCCTCCTCACTTCTCATCCACCGAACTCTCCCTCTGTTACCAACACCCTGTCGTCCCCTTTCCTGCAAGTTATTACTATTGTCCAGCCTTCCAGCCTCCTTCCAAACTCCTCACAGCCACCCCACTGTTTGTTGTCGACCACCTATAACCCTCATTACTTGTCGTCCCTACAATTCCACACCTTCCCTTTACCATCACCCGCCTTCCGTGGCTGTCATCGTCCATTCCAATCATTCATATCCCTCTAGCCGACCTCCACCACCCATTGGAATATATTTTGGAGTGTTTACTTGTGTCGTCTATGTTATGTATTGTTGGGTTGTGTTGTAACCGCTATTTCCATATTAATAAAAGTTTACTTTTGTGTTTTCACTGTTTTTCCTACCAGTTCCGGTATCATAGTGGCATGGAATGTAACATCTAATAACAAGCTAATTTTGAGCAGATATAATCAAATCTTTATAACCCTGAACTATGCAAAACAGTTGGGAACGAAAAATAAAACACAAACAACCGATGTAAAAGGATGCTCAAACAACTCATTTATCAAAGCTTCCGCACAATTCCAATTATAGAATCTCGGATATTGATTGACTACTTCATACAGTAACAACACACAGCAAAAAGTTGAGCATATTTGAAGGAAACAATGCAAAACAAGATATTTCAACTAATTGGTTGATCGAGATATCAACTGTCGGAAACCTAAGAAAGTTATGCTCATGAAATCAGACCTATAATAGGGCTTAGAAACTGAAATAAAAATTGGTAGATTGGAAAGCAAGTTTCACTATTCCAATAGCATTAAAACTGAATACCTTAGCAACTGCTGTTCCTGACCCCATCGCAATTCCAATGTCTGCTTTCTTTAATGCAGGAGCATCATTGACACCATCTCCAGTCATTGCGACCTGGTAAGCAAACAGTGAATATTTGAAAGAATTAATTTAGGAAAACTAATTGGCAAGAAATAGCAATCTACTTCTTTAGCTAGCTAGAATTTTATGTCCATCCGAGATAATTTTTAAGAGCATAAAACTTTATTTAACAAAAAACGAGTAGAAAGATACAGGTGTGAAGCTTATGTGGCATCAAAATCATTTGTCAGTGGATATGAAAAGAAAAAAAAATCAATTTGTGTTTTAAGAAACCAATTGTTATACCAAGATGAAGGCTGCTACTCTGAATATCACAAAATGAAAAAGACTCTCATACATAGATATCTATAAACACACTCCAACAGCTTCATTATCTCAAAAAAATAAATAAATATCCCGAAAGGCCACAAATTGACACCACCCAAATCCTAGCTGAGTAATGACTGGGCCCAAGGGTGTGACGAGAGAAGAATCATATTGATTCCTGGCAGAACCAGTTGAAATTTGGTTTAGATCAGCCATCTCAAAAGTTATTTTTCAGGTAGAGTCAATTGGTATCTTGAAATCATTCATTCAAACATAGAGAGGGTTCGATCCATCATGCAACTACTTGGCATCCAAGCAAGCCACTCAACAAGTAATACATAATTGAATAGAAACAAAAGAAATAACATGTCACTAAAATCATTTAACGCCTATTATCAGTGGGTAATAAGAATAAAAGGATTTACTATGAAGTATATTACATTTGACACAAAACAATCCTGATCCACAGTCAAAAGGATTAGAACATACTCGTCAGCTAACTCAATCAGGGTACTTGGCCAAGCTCACACATTTATAATCCCATCCAATCCTCATCCACAATCAAAAGGAAAAAAAACATGACTTAACCAGCTAAATTGATCAGGGTACTTGGCCAAGCTCAAACAGAAATAATCTCATCCATTTCAAGAATTGATTCATCAGTTTGTCGGAACCCACTCGCTTACCCGCAAGCCGCAGCTGCCCACCTACCCGCCCGCCCCTGCCTATTATTGCTACTGCCCGCCCCCGCCCCCTCCTTATTTTTGCAACGGCCCGCCCGCCCCTGCCTGCCATTGTTGCTTCATTGTTGTTGCCCGCCCGCCACTGCCGCTGCCCACTCGCCTGCCTGCCGCTACAGCTGCCTGCCTGCCGCTACAGCTGTTAGCGCCAACCCATTTCCACCACAGCAGTCGTACCACCCACCAACCGCTGTTTGCCAGCCGCAGCTAACTCGCCACGTGTCGTTGTCGCCCGCCCACCATCACCCACCCACTACTTACAGCCCGCTACCTTTGCCTGCCACCCACTATAGCTCGTAGTTGTCGCCTCCTGCCTCCTTCGCTCACCTCCCGCCCCACCTCCATCGGCCACCTCCACTGCCTACATGTTGTCGCCGCACGTCTGCCGCTGTTATTGGCCGCCGCAAACCTCCCTCCTTCCACCGTCATGACCTCCTTCCCGCAACTGCCACCATCGAATGTCCTTCGTCACCCACCAGTAATACTTTATAATTTTTGAAATACATTGTTTTCAGTCCACTTTAAACCAAAAAAAAATGAAGTCCTATAATTTTTTTTTTATACTGAACTAAACGACTTCAAAGTAATTCAAAAACAATATATTACTTTGGTATTACATTCATTTTACACTGTATTACTTTTTCAGCAAACCAAACGGACCCTAAATAAAGTATTAATTCACTTTTATTTTAAATTTTTATATTTACTAACATAATTTCTTCCACAACTTGTATTACAGAAAAGAAAACCACATTTAGTATTTAATGTATTAACATATCACTTTCAGTTTCAGAAAATTTACTTTGGAAAAGAAAACCATCTTTAGTATTAAATGTACATCGGGCTTCTTTATTAAGAAACAAGGACATAAGAAAAAAGAGAGTCATTGTGATACATAAAAGTTAGAACTCAACCTTAGAGCTCTTATTGCCATGATTCATGAATCTATATAATCATTGTGCAAATAGTTAAGGGCCTCATTGTGATAGCTTTCTGTTCTTTATATTTATTTTTCTTTTTAGTCTGTTTTGTTTTTCTTTTGTTTTCTATTTTCTATTGTCTATTTTTAAAAAACGCAATTAGTACAGTTATGATTTATATATTTTTAAAAACAAAAAAATATATATAAAACATGTTTGGTAGGATATTTTTATTATTTTTATTTTTTAAGAAAAAAACTTATACATTTTATAAAATGGTTGGGTCACGTGTGGTGTGCTCCAGTATTAAGTTATGACGCCCATGACGTATACGATATCTTCTTTACTCCACCCAGCACAAAATATTACCTATGGGCGGGCTGCGACAGGCGTTGGGTAGTGGTTGCAGCTGGTAAGGCCAGTGGCAGGCTGCGGCGGCAGGCGATGCCTGGCGGGGGCAGCGACAATGGTAACTGGCGGCCATCGAATGGCGTCCGCCAGCTGGCGACGGAGAGCAAGGGCAAGCGAGCGGCGATGGCAGTGTCTAGAGAGGGAGAGCGGCAACAGACAGCAGCAGGTGGAGATTAGTGGCCAGTGACGGCGGCTAAAGGGAGCGGGCGGCAACTACGATTATGGGAAAAATTTTCTATCCGGAATCCGGACGTAGCTCTATGTGCGGACTCCCGGAAATATACCGCAATGTGTGTTATATCGGGCTCACCTAAAAAAATATTAAAATGGAACCACGGACTCCGCAATAATCTCGAAATAACCCCGGAATAACCTTCGCGATATTATTTCAGGGTTATTGAAGTGGAATTGATGGGTTTCTTTTCAATAACTCCAAAATAAACTTAAAATTACATTTGTGATGTTATTTCACGATTATTGAAGTGGAATATATGAGTTTCACTTCAATAATCCTGAAATAACCCTGAAATAACCCCGAAATAAACTCTGAGTGTTATTTTGGGGTTATTGAAGTGAAACTGTGAATGTTATTTCGGGGTTATTGAAGTGGAATATATGAGTTTCTCTTCAATAACCCCGAAATAACCTACGTGGTTTCACTTCAATAACCCCGAAATAACTTCCGCGATATAGCACACGTGGCGGCATTATTGGAGTTTGCACGTAAAGCAACGTCCGGAGTTTGGACAGAAATTTTTCCACGCTTATGGCGGCAAGCTACAGCTGTGATGATGGCGGCAAGCTACAGCTGTTATTGTGGCAGCGTGCTATGGCGAGGGGCCGCAGGCGATGGTGGGCGGCGGCGGGCTGCAACGGCTATCAGAGATAGTAGGGGGAGGCTGGCTGGGACTGACAGTCCGTAGGGACTAAAGAAGGATGGTTGGGGCAGCCGGCAAGAGCCAATGGCGACTAATGGCCTCCGGCTAGTGGAGGCGAGCAAGGGCGGGGGTTGGCGACAGTGAGCAGGGGGTCGACAGATAATAGATTCGCTAATACTGACTAGTGTAATTCGGGTCTGAAGCTTTTAAGAATTTGGTAGAATACGCTATCACTGTGAAAATTTCATCTAGAATTGAAGAATTTCAAATATACATTAATGCTTACTTCAAAGCTCTGGGTTGTAATTTAATACAAAACAAGAGGTGATGGCATATACTTTTAGAAATTGAAGCCGCATTAAAGGAACTATCCAATATAGGATTTGAAATTAGCTGCAATAGTGTTTACCTTGAAAATTTAGTGTTATTTCAGAGTAGGAATGTCAATAATTAACAAAAATCCGACCACTCAATCCAAATTTGACTCAAAACATTCGAGTTGGGGTTAACCTCATTATTATTCAAGTTATATTTGAGTCTAAATTATAGACCTGATTGTTGCTTGAAAGATGTTCACGTGTAACTGAATAACTCTAAAATTAACCCTACTATTAAATTTTGGTCGGTTAACTAAGTTAGAAGGGTTATATTCAAGTTAATTGGCTCACGTTGACCCAAAAAAATAATATGATCCATATAATAAATGGGTTAGACTATAGTCGAGTTTAAGTTATGTTGGTTAGGGTCAAATTAAGTATTGGTCAAATAACTAGATCCATATAATAAGCAAATTATGCCCATATAAAGCATATTAATATTGCTCAAATTTAAGTCACCTAAATCTTAACTGTCAACCACCACTAACAATGGCTCAAAATTTGTACTGTTCCTCCATTAATTTGAGAAAATTCCTACATTCAATACATTCAATAAACAAGATTGGGGATCAATACCCCAAAACCCTCCCCTAGCCATTCTCCCTAATTACACATAAATTTCCCCAATGATCACTAAAAAAGGCATGGAAGAAGTTTTGCAAAAAGATTCATGAAAATCAAGAGCATTAAATAAAGAATGCATAACAAAGAAGAATTTATATAGTCAACATCTTTAGTTCGAATAGGATTAGTCACAATGATAATAAAAAAATGCACAAGTGCATGCATTTACATATGTAAGTTTGTATACAAGGGGTACACGCGTGTTTTTTGGATTTATGCCTGTACATGCATGTCTATATGAAAGCATGTATGGGCCTGTAGATTGTCAGATTCATGTGGTTGTGTATGTTTGAGCGTGTGCTTCCTTGAACATTTGTTAGGTACATATGCATTCTTTTTCATGCATCTACATAAATATGGAAATAGAATACAAATAGGTCAGAAGCACCAGGGAAAGTCACTAGCACTAGCAATAGCAATTACATAGACATTATGCAAAGATCACATAAAAAATCGACATTAAAAGTATCTATACATAAAAGCCAAATCATTAAAGGCCTACCACTTCATTTTGGTTTTGCAAGGCCTCCACCAGCATCTTTTTATGAAAAGGTTCGACCCTGCAAGTAATCAAGTTACAATCGTATAACAGCAAGATAACAGAAAAGGTGTAAAGAGCCGGCTTAAGATACTATCCTAAACAAAGTAGATGGCGTTGACAATCAGAATATGTGTAATGTCAAAAATGATTTTGACCTTTTTTCTTAATTAGTTAGTGTATCAGGAAACAGTTTAATTATCCTTTTGTAATGTTTTTATTGTTTTGAATGTCTTTTTAATGACATTCATTTTTCTTTAATTATTTCAAGTTAATTTGTTCAAGTATTTTTATTGGTTCTCAATATGGGCCTTTCTTTCTGATGCTAGTGAATTATAGAATGAATTAAAATTTGTATTTTCTCCTCAAGCAGCTCTCATAAATTCCTCCTAAATCCCTTTCACGTGCAATCTATCCTCTCCAGCTTCACTTCCACCTACAAATTCTGTGTGTTAATTTATTATGCTGGAACCGCTC